ACCTGGAGGAAGGCTCTGTGGGGGGTCAGGGACCTGGAGGAAGGCACCTGGTGGGTGGCCAGGGACCTGGAGGAAGGCTCTGTGGGGTGGTCAGGGCACCTGGTGGGGTGGTCAGGCACCTGGAGGAAGGCTCTGTGGGGTGGCCAGGGACCTGGAGGAAGGCACCTGGTGGGGTCATCCAGGGCACCTGGAGGAAGGCTCTTTTGTTGTCCCCGTGAGATCTATTTTTTATTCCCACTTGGATTTTCCTCCCAAGTGGAATAAAATGATGACCACAGGGACACCAGGCGTGGAGGTAGAAAGGAATGAGCACGTGTCAAGTCAGAATCAGACTCAGGATGAGCTTTATTGTACGTGTGTTACCTTCACCAGGGAGAAGAAGGTAAGGAAGCTGGAGAGCAGACCAGCTCATATCAGAGGGACACAAATCACAGGAGCGAACATGGTGAAAGTCAAGGGCCCCAAACAGACCTGCTAGGAAGCTCAAAGATGGGCAAGGACCCAAACATCCCATTTGTATTTCTTTTTGGGCTATTTGGACTCAATCATTTACATATTTTTGTTTCGTTTTTTTTTTTTTTAAAAAAAAACACACCCAACATTGCCATGTCCAATCGCTGGCTCTCAGGATGCAGAGACAAAATGACTTAGTTTTTGATCTCTGCACCACCACCAGCCTCCTCTTGTGGACACCCATGGTCGTGGGGGGTGATGGTAAGTGCAAAGTCCATCAAGTTCAGATTGTTTTGAGGCTTGAATGAGTGCCTGCCGCTGTGGAAGGCGAAGGAGTCCTTGGTCATCAGAAGCCCAGGTTTAGGTGGATTTTTGGCTCAAAGGACTGTGCTTGGCTTCAGTGGCGTCCCTTGTTAGCCACACCATTTCTACATTTGAGACCTCCCACGACGGCCGAGAACAATACTCGTTCACGGAGGCTGATGAAACACGGAGAGAACTGTCTTCAGAGACACGGATCAAGTCCTGGAATACCGAGGAGGCCAGAAGGCAAGAGGGAACATGGCCCACAGGGACACCCACAGGAGAAGGTCACCAGAGCAGGGGCTGGGGTGGGGCTTTTTCTGTTGGCCGTCTTCTTGGCCCCAGATGGCGTAGGAGCAGCTACTTTCCCTTGCCAGGGGATGAGCACTTCTCCTGCGCCTGCTGAGGGCCAACCTCCACACACTTGGTCTGGGCAGGCTCCTGGCACCGCTCCACGCACTGAGGCAGACATGGGTCTTGGCCTGGAGGTAGGCATGGGTCTTGGCCTTGTGCTGGGCAGTTTTCTTGGCTTAACTCCTGGCACTGAGGAAGGCACACCTCCTGAGCTTGTGCCGGGCACTTCTCTTGGCAGGGGTCCTGGCGTGGGGGGAGGCACACCACCTCAGCCTGGGCCTGGCACCGCTCTTGGGTCTTTTGCAGACACGGAGGGGGTGCACACGGCTGCTTGCACTGCTGGTCGCTGAAGGACATTTTAGGGTGATTTGTAGGATCTGAAACAAACACAAGCTTTGAAATGCCCTGCATTAAAAGTACCAGACTGGAAACAGAGGCATAAAAAGTTGAGACGGTGTCGGGG